AGCCATTAAACCCCACTTACAGAAACATGATGACAAATGCACGTTCATTATCTTTAATCTCCCTAGCGCTATATTTAGTTCACCCATTTTTAACAGGCCATTTGCAGAAATCATAAAGGAAAAAGCAAAGAAACATCACTGTTGTTGGGTAAAGCTGGCATTTTAACCATGCACTGATCTGGTTTATGGTTTGAAACGCACATGAAACGCACATGACAAAAACTGCACTGGTTACTGGTTCAACAGGTTGACCAACCTTCTTTTGCAGGCATATTCAACAAGACTTTCTCACACTCCAGCTTCTGCAAATATCATCTCAGAGGAGCTTCATTTATGTTTTCTCAGAATTCAGAAATCTTCCCCAAAGGAGATCTGACAAACATAAAGGCAAAGGATCATGTTCCCATAACCGCGTGTAGATCAGATCAGCGTCTAATCTCATTTCAGCCGCACAGAGCTGTTCAATCAGTGAAACACAATATAAAGAAAGAATTATACAGATTACAAATGTCGATTTTAATTTTTAATAAGTTGCTCAGAGGTTGCAAAGGAATCTGAGGGTACGTTGACACAACAATGATTGTGCTAAAAACAAGGAATTATTTTGAATTAAAAATATTAGCAAACGTTACAATTAGACCCGTTGGCAACATGATAATGATAACTGTTATGAGGAAAGAATGATGCGACCCCATGAAGGTGCATCTATGAAGGACTGTAAGAAGAACATATCGCTAGGTGCTGTTCACACAGAAAGTTATTTTGCATTGACAAAGATGTGATGCAGGCAGAGGAATGGAAAAATATGCTAGGTTATAAGACACAAGTTGAACTCCTTTTAAAGGGTTAGTTCACCCAAAAATGAAAATTCTGTCATTAATTACTCACCCTCATGTCGTTTCAAACCGTAAGACCTTCGTTCATCTTCGGAACACAAATTAAGATATTTTTGATGGAATCTGAGAGCTGTCTGACCCTGCATAGACAGCAACGCAACTGAAACGTTTCCAAGTCCAGAAACGTATCAAGGGGATCTGTAAAATAATCCATGTGACATCAGTGGTTCATCCGCAATTATACGAAGCTACGAGAACACTTTTTGTGCGCAAAAGAAAAATACATAAATAACGACTTTATTCAACAATTCATCTCCTCCGCATCATCCTGGTGCCATTTTGGAGAGTATCCGCTGTACGTAAACAACGTATGCTGTTCTGTGTCAGCTGCGTCACATGGATACGCTGTTTCCGTTCAGATCAAATCACAACAACGTAGAAAACAGATCCGCCGCAACACAGCTGACACAGAACAGTATACGTTGTTTACGTCCTGCTGATACTCTCCAAAATGGCACCAGGGTGATACGGAGGAAGCGAATTGTTGAATCAAGTCGTTATTCTTTTGCGCACAAAAAGTATTCTCGTAGCTTCGTATAATTGCGGATGAACCACTGATGTCACATGGATTATTTTACAGATCTCCTTGCTACGTTTCTGGACTTGGAAACATTTCAGTTGCGTTGCTGTCTATGCAGGGTCAGACAGCTCTCAGATTCCATCAAAAATATCTTAAATTGTGTTCCGAAGATGAACGAAGGTCTTACGGTTTGAAACGACATGAGGGTGAGTAATTAATGACAGAATTTTTGGGTGAACTAACCCTTTAAGGTGTTGCTATGTGGATGCTAAATCATTCTGAGTGGTTTTAAGCTGCTATTTAGTTGCTAGGGTGTCCTGGTATGTTATTATGTGGTTGCGAAGACGTTCTGAATGGTTTTAAGCTGTTGCTGTGTAGTTGATAAGGTATTCTGTTGCTAAGGTGTTGATATGTGGATTAGTGTTGGAAGATATGCTCCATATCGTCCTATCTTCAGCCTGTGAGATCGCCGATACATGATATTATCATGCTAATTTATTAAATTATTTACTTACTTCGTTTCATAGCCGGAGTGTGAACCAACTCCAGGGCAAGGCCAAAAGCAGCCTATAATGTTAGTGTAATCTATCAACTAGCCTACACATTACATTATATCTTTTTAGTAAAGTAGCATATGGACGTCATGTCATAAAATATTTTTAATATGACTGAATATGTATTTAACATGATAACTGTTTAATAGAAACATTGCAAGTTACTAATTATAATGCTTATGTATCCTCAGTTATTCAAACAGCGGCAACAGAAAACGAGCAAAGAGCATTAACATTATCAAAGAACATCATCACTGACTTCAGTCTAGCATGAGTTTATGCACCTTAAACTCCCGTTATAATCAAGCTGTCTACACTGTATGATGAATAAATCTCTTATACTTACATCATAGGTACATCTGCACAACAAAACTCCGGTGTTTCAGCAATGACTCTGAACTCTGATGATCTGAACGCCTCTGATTGGCCATTGCATTCATAAGCTCAACAGAATCGTGTGTGATTAGTTATAACGCGCAACCCTGTAAAAATGTGGAAAAATAAATATGATGGAACAAATAAGCCGTAATATTAATTAGTCAGTATTACTGATCGGTAATAATAATAATAATAATTGTCTTGCTATTGTCAAAGGCATCAGCCACAGGCGATATCGTCAATCGATACACGATACTATCATCTATCGGCACAACCCTAATATGGATGATAAAGCATTCTGAGTGGGTTTTAAGCACATTGCTATGTAGTTGCTACAGTCTTTTGGGTGGATGCTAGGGCATTGCTAATTGGTTGCTATGGTGTTGTTATGCACTGCTATCTGCTCTTTGCTATGCAACTACCAGAGTGTCCATTATATAAGTGCGACCTGATGCAGTGCTGTGATTCATGACAACTCGCTTTTCTATAATTGGCCATTAGCAGGAAGCGTTTCATGCAAAGCCCTCACAGTGAATGCTGACTAACAAGCGAAAGGGAAACCTCTGCAAACAGGCCACAAACTGGAACGTTTTACACAAAGTAGGAAGCCACAGAAGGAAGGTCACACAAAGATAAACAACTCGTTTGAGAGAAGAAACAGGAAGTACTTCTGGAGCAAAAGCCAAACCCACTCAAATTTCATTCGACTCCAGTAGCAGGTCGCTAGTCATGAGAGGCCAAGAGAGGCTCATTTCAAAGGACATGCATGGTAAAATGGGGCATTTTGTGCCTTCCCAAAGTGTTACTTTATTTACAAAATAAAATCACAGTAAACAGAGGCAGAAAAGTGAATGAGGGACACAATACGTGCACAATATGTGCATCGCAGTAAACAGAGGCAGAAAAGTGAATGAGGGTGCAGCGTGCATCGCTGGTTCGTTCCCAGCCTCATGCTCGCTCGGTTAGTTAACCTGCCTTTCAGCTTGCCTGAAAGTTCCCAGTGTTCATTGAGGCGCACGCACGGCGTGAAACAGGTTTCCTCTGTGATCCCAGTGTGAGACAGACTCAACGTACACATCTGAACGCATGGATCAACACCGATGGCCCAGGGATTGATGGGAAGGGAACTCCACAAAGCATACTTTGAGGGCACGACTTGCTCTGTAAGCATTAAACTAAACAAGTACAACACCCATCATAATGTCTAAATTCTAGTGTTTGCAAGCACAAACAATACTGTAAATTAGTGGTGTGATCAGCACGCTAAGTATTAAATACTAAGTACACACTTCAGTGTGTGTCCGGAATGATTCCTCAAATGAGAAAAGCGTACTAAAAGGTTCTTTTGACTAACCATCACGAAATCACCCACAATGCTCTGATAATATTTAAATTAATCAAAATAAATTAAAATGACATTCTGAAGGCTTCTTACAAAATTTGGAGATAGTAATTTTATATTCTTATTTTACAGAAATTAAAATTGCAATCACCAAAGTAAATTTGGGAATAAATGTCTTTATTTTAATTACGGCATGAAATGTTGTTTACAAATCTGAAGATGGAAAATATGAAGCAAAAACTGTAGCTTTCAGGATATTTTGGCAGAAATGATGATTACCGTGGTCAATCTGCTAAAAGACTTTGGAAATCCGTGCCAAGGCGTGTGCTTACAGTGGGCCAGCGGATGTAGGTTAGTCGAGTAATCCCTGAGGTTCAGATGTTAGTAGGTTAAGCTGCATTGACTGTGTGTGTGTGTGTGTGTGTGTGTGTGTGTGTGTTAGCCGAATCAAGAATTAATGTCACAGGGAAAGTCCATAATGTCCTGCACACCCACTGAAAATACAACATCACGTGAAAATTAATGCAATTATGAAAAAAAGGTCAATGTTGGTGCTTCATCTAGTGTGTGTGTGTGTGTGTGTGTGTGTGTGTGTGTTAGCCGAATCAAGAATTAATGTCACAGGGAAAGTCCATAATGTCCTGCACACCCACTGAAAATACAACATCACGTGAAAATTAATGCAATTATGAAAAAAAGGTCAATGTTGGTGCTTCATCTAGTTCTGTTACAAGTCCATACATCAATATGCTGCATTGCATTAGTTAAAAGCAGGCTGAGGGAAAAGCAATGTGAACCTTACACAACTGTCCTGTGGTAACACCATAGTAAAATACCATGGTAGTGTAAGATATTTTAAAGAAAATAAGCATAAAAAACACCGTATTACTAAGGTGCCACAATTACAACAAGGTATACTATGTTTCTGGACATAAACCAATGCATTCTTGGAAGTACCTTAGAGTGCCATTTAAATAAACTACCATCACTGTAACATGGTGCTCCCGCAGTACTTTTGCAGGATCAAGCAAAACATGGTATTACCACAGTATTTTTGTAAAACGTAAAAGTACAGTAGAGTTCTGCAGAAGCAGTATGGTAAAGCATTATAATAAATCTTTGATGTTCAGATGTGAGGAGTGGAAACATACGAAATGACGCGTGGCAGCAGCGGCGGCTCATGAGATTTAATCAAGTAACCATGGAAGCAGCTACAATTTATCAGCGTGTCTAGCGATCGTGCGGTTAATAGTAACTCTCATTCGCTGCCGGTTTATTGCGCGAGCCAATAAAATAACCCGGATTCTTACCTTTACTGCTGAATTAAAACTCGTTGTGACTGGATAGCTCCGCAACTGTGTTGTTAAATGATATCACGCGAAAATACAGCGCAATGCAGCGGCTATAGTCGCGATGAGTCGGTTTGTCGGTGGTTATTCGCGGGAAGCGCTGCAATCCACCGTCTTCCCGGACGCCATGACTGAACGAACGGATCCCAAACTGATTTCATACAATAAAACACCGCCTCCAGCCTCCAACACCCGCACTACAGCCTCATCAATGCCGTGATGAGAACAGCGACACCTGGCGGTGGATTTAAACTTCAGCTGCTCAACATGTTCCGACGCATTCCTACTGGAATCTCTTCCACCAAAGTTCAAAAATGTACCATGTTTTGGGGCATCATGTAGCATGGTAGTACCATGGTGTTCTTGGAAGAGCTTGATACCACATTATTACCATCTGACACCATTATTGTACTGCAGTACATTTTGTACGGCATGGTAAATGAATATGCAAGTCAAATGATACCACTGGATACTATACCGTATAAAGGATCGATTTACCATGATAAAACCAGTACATTTTTACATCCCAATGACTGTAGGACATCACATTCAAATAAAATCGTTCAGCAACATCTTTCAGTGTATTTATCCAATCTTATAAAGAACTGTGATGAGCAACAGCGCCACCAAGCTGGGATTCTGCCATTTACATCACTTAAAAAAAAATAAAATAAATAAAATAAATTCTCAAGCATTAAAGGGGTCATATGATGTTGCTAAAAATAACATTATTTGGTGTAATGAAATGTGTTTATGCGGTTTAATGTTAAAAAGAATACATGGGGATTTCTTTAGTAATTTTTAAGTAAAGGAATTGGGATCTATGCATTTGTAATCAGAAAGGGATCCAATATAAACTATATAGTTCCCTGTAAATATATATTTTCAGCGTGCATATTGCTAATTGTCCTACTTTAACCATTGTTGGATGTAATGCATTACTAAGTAGCCTAATTAATTGCAGTAATTTAATTACTTTTCCCTTGAAAAGGTAAAGTAAGGGATTAAAGTAAAGTAAGGGATCGTGATTTTTCTGTAATTACTGTTACTTCTGATGTAGCTAATTGCATCAAATACTGTAGACTATAAAACAGTCTATGTAACACTTATAACACAGACTATAAAACACTTCTATATAAAACAATAGTGGGTTTAACATCAAAAATTAGCATCTCATGTAAAATATGTTTGAATGTAACTTCAACTTCCTTCTCCCCACGGGGCTGTTGAATGCTTGAATCTGATTGGCTGCCGATAAGGGGTGCTAGTAGTTCCAGGCAGGGAATATTGGCATGACCAGGGGCACGTTCAAGCTCAAACCGATGTGCACCGTTTTGCTTCGGTTTCTACAATTGTCACTCATGTGATGTCACGTTTATTTAAAAAAACGCCCTTTATTTAGTAGATTGATTTAAAGCACGCAGCTTACAGTATTAAACATGAAAAAACAGTCTCAGTGTCAGTCTCGCTTTCAGTTAGAATTAAAAAAGTTGATTTTCTGCAGCTGTCCAATGTGGAGCTAGCTTATAATAGAATCTTTTTATTACGTGAATGCAAAAATAACGAAATAAATACAAATAAAGAACAAATCATTAGTGTTTGGTTTGCATAGATTAAAACTTGATCTAGCTCATCAGGACTGATTTGATTACAATAACACTATAAGGTGTTTTAAGAGAGCTAATGTTGTGAATAACATAATTTATCGAAAATAAAATATCTTAGCACTTTATTTTGTTATGACTTACAAAAGATGTTAGACAGAATAAAATAATGTTATTTTTAGCAGCATCATATGACCCCTTTAAACTAAAGCCTTCATTTGATAAAACTTGAAGACCTGCGGAAACCATGTTCATATACTTATTTTAAGTTTTTAAAGTACATTTCACAGATATTTCAAATCTTTTCCTACAAACTCCTAATCACTAATCTCTAGTTACTGCTGTAAATCCATAATAAAATACCATGTGAAAAGCTTCCATAATGTTAGTTTTCGCCTTAAGCACTGTATCCTCTTGTAAACGAGTTAAAAAGCATTATAGTGAGAAAACCTACAGTAAACCTTAGAGGGAAGAAAAAAAAGTTTACTGTAGTTAATAGGATCAAAGTAATGTAACATTTACATTTTAATTGTATTTAAACTATCTGGATTCCATTTTCACATATTGAGAGCATTAGATAGCAATGAAACTGACACAAAGTTCAGCATGTCTTGCAGCTTTAATACTGAAAGTGTTGTAAAATGATTAACCAGGATAGATTGCATATACAAATGTTCCATTGACATGTGACAACCCATAAGCCATCTGGCTTCAGATTTGTGCATTTCCTTCATAATATCAGAAGCCCTGAACCCAGAGTCCCGGTTTTCCTATGTTGTTTATTTCATTAAATGGATTAAGTGAGCCAATGACAGACAATATTAGCCGTGACACACATATCAGCAAAGGTGGAGCAAACCGTTGCCCGTTTCTCCCAAACATCATCGCCGGTGATCTGGACCAGCGTTGAAGAGAAAACAAAAACCTAAAAGAAAACCAAACAAGAAGTCAACACCATGACCGCTGCATCATCGCTCTATTGCATTCGAGCTCATCCAAATCAGTCCGTTCAGTCCAATCCATCAATGAAAAGAGTCGGACCGACCCCTAAATCAGCATCAGCAAGGATCGACAGATACACAAGTTGACAAAACAACTATAACTGATCTCATAAGGGAGAAAAGCACAATTTCTACACCAGAAATTCTTAACGATTTATGATGGATGACTGTTAGTTTCATTTCATACCCCTAAACCCCCCACGTCTGCTCAAGATGAGGGTTTTTGAAGCCATTGGCCCTTTTTGAGGTGAGACGCACAAACACGCATGTAGTAGCTGGACGCTCGGCCCTGCTGTTGTTGAAGACTTTGAGAGATCAGGTCCAGACGGCTCAGAGGCCCAACACAAACTCAAGTCACATGGCAGTTCTTTACTCAAAATAAGGAAAGGGCCAAAAATCTAGATGTGGAATTCCAGGTGCAAAGTTTATTAATCCTCAATAGATGGGCTGTTTTATAGGGTTAAGGCTTCTCTCATTCACTCAAGCCATGTTCAGGAGGTCCTGGATGGCCTTCTGCTGAGTCTCGTTGAGTACTGAAACACACTGCGTCCAGAGTCCTCCAGAAACCTGAAAACATGGGAGCACACAGTCAGACATTTGACATGGAAATACCATGCAAATTCTACTTGGGTCAACCTAGAAGCAAAAAAGGGCTACTTTTGACACAGATGAACCATCATTAGATATACTGAAAATAGATTTCTGCTAATATAATACATTTTCTAAATTTACACATTTGAATATTTTAAGATATTCAATATACATTTGAAATCTTATGAAATCTTTAAAGAACAAGGATAAACAATTTGATATTTATAGGCATCAATATACATCTACATGGGGGGAAAAAATGCAATGCTGAGATTTTTAAATGCTAAGGCTATACAACATGCATAAATTAGCCCTTTGATATGACATTTATATTGATAAACATGCATTTTTTTTTTAAAGAGTAACTATTTAAAATTTTAAATAATGCATGCAACATACAGTAGTCAACATTTAAAGTAGATCAAAAAAGTTCATCAAAGTTGTCCTAAGACTAGGGTTGGGTATCGTTTTTTTTTTTTTTCGATACCGGTGCCAAATCGATACTTTTATAACGGTTCCGGTGCCTGAACCGATACTTATTAAAGAACAGAGAAAAAAATGAGAATGCTAGTGTTAGAGGCTCTTTTTTCTTTATAAATAAAACAAGTAGTTAGAATAGAAATAGAATGGAGTGCAAATGTTAGAGGATCAAGTTTTTTAATAAAAAAAAACAAGCAGATAAAATTAGAAGTTGCATTAGAATAGAGAGTGCTAGAGTTAGAGGGTCAAATGAAGATGAAAGAGATGTGTTTTCAGCCGTTTCTTGAAAATATTAAGGACTCAGCTGCTTGGATTGAGCTGGGCAGGTCATTCCACCAGGAGGGAACAGTTAATGTAGAAGTCCATGAAAGTTTTATCATAGGTAGAATGCAAAATGTTTCAATACAAGCATTTCAGTCAAATGTAATTTATGAAATATTTCAAACCTTTAACCCACTTGGGAAAATCAGCCCATGGCAACAGTTTAAAAGTATCCCAATTCTGTGGAAAAAAACGTGGACTTGGCAACCCTGCATCCAAGAAGAGCTGCCGGAGTCAGATTTGACTGATCACAGGTCGAGAATAAG